GTTTCTAGAAGTTAGGTTCTGGTAAACCAGCGGTCGACTTCCAGTTCCTGATAAGCAAACCGGACTTTATACTGTCTCTGTGGACTAAACACATCTTCATCTACAATGCCGTCAATGTCATATCTTCCATCCATATCCGGAGGGATCATGGATCTTCTTGAAGGGAACTGTTGACTTGTGACACACGACAATAGCTTTGATGCATGGAATACAGGATAGGTGTGGAGGTGTGGTGGGATCTCTATTGTGTAGGACGGTCCATCCTCTCCGCCCTTGGCTTCTAGAACTGCCCACGGTCCTCTATACGCGGGAGGTAACTTCTGCGAGATGTTCTCCTCAGGTGCAAACTCTTTGGACTTGACCCAGACTAAGTCGCCTACTTGAAATTGAGACGGGCGACTGTGCTTGTTTGTCTGTTCTATCATTCGATGTTGGGCCTTCCTGAGGTTTTCAACAACTGTAGCTAGCTCTCTCTCGTGTTGTATCGCAAACTCCCTGGTTCCGGGCGGTAGCCTGTGAATCTGGTCCCGCGTAAGTCCCTCAAACGGTCTACGGGGTCTAAAGGACTTGTGCAACTCGTTGGGAGTCCGACAGGTAGACAAATGCACGCTGTTATTGTATGCGCTGGCTACCTTGGGCAACATTTTGCCCCAATTGACTTGATCCGGTCTAATATACATGCGCAAAACTTGCTGCAGGATCTTGTTCATCTGTTCTGTCTGACCGTTAGTCTCTCGATGATGGCCAGATGACATAAACAATTTTGACCCAAAGACTTTCATCAGTTCCTGCCAGTTCTGGCTGGTGAAATGGGTGTCTCTATCACTAACAATCGACAATGGAACCCCGTGATCACTGACCCAAAAATCGAAAAACTTCTGAATTACTAACTCGGTACGTGCCTCTGTAGGCAAAGGAACAAAAACTGCATATTTACTGAATCTATTAACTATGACCATGACTTGGCTTTTGTCGTGCCTACTCTTGACACCGGCATCCATGAAGTCAATGGAGACTGAATCTCCAGGTTGGTCTGGGATAGGCAAGGGTCTGAGAAGACCTAGAGGGGCACGCGTAGTGGTCTTGTTTCTCTGGCAAACTTTGCAACTGCTAACATACTCTATGCAGTCAGCTTCCATTCCTGGACAGGTATATGCACGCATCAGATTGGCTAAAGTCTTCTGCCAACCGAAGTGTCCCTCTGTATCATGGCATTCCGCTAGGATTAGGCTACGGATTGCCTCACTATTGGGGACGCACAGGCGGTCTACTACATCAGTCTTCTCAAACAACAATCCTTCTGTAGTGCGGTAGTGTGGTTCAGTCTCTGGAGCCTCCTTAACTCTCTTGAGGAGGTCGCTATAGATAGGATTCTGCGCATATGTCTGTCTTACTTTTTCTTGCAGGTCCTTTTCTATGTCCAGATAGTGCACTATAGCTCCAAAGTAGTCTGATCTCCTACTCAGAGCATCCGCAACTACGTTGTATTTGCCTTTGACCGGCTTGAGCTCAAAGTCGTATTGGTCTATCTCAGCGGCCCACCTAGTCAACTTAGGTGTCATTTTGGCCGAGGTCTTTAATCATCTAAGAGTTTCGTGGTCTGAATATACTTTGAAGTGTCTCCCAAGCAGGTAATGTTTCCAATGCTCTAAGGTCTGCCCGAGAGCTTAGAGTTCTCTCTCATACGTCGAGGTGGCTACTTTCTCTGAAGGCGTCCTCGCTGACATGAACTCTACGAGTCTATAGCCATTGTCGTTGTCTTGCTACAACACGACGCCTATACCATATTGACTCGCGTCCTTGGTGACGACAAATGGCTAAGACGGATCAGCTACTTTGAGGAAAGGATACTCTATCAACGTGCGCTTTAATTTCTTTAGCGCAGATGTACAGTCTTTGTCCCATTGCCAGATTGCCTCTTTTTTTAGCAACCGGCGAAGGGGAGCGGGGATAGTCGAGAAGTTCCTCAAGAACTTCCTATAGTAATTGGCTAGGCCTAGAAACGACCGCAACTCTGTTAGTGTGCGGGGCGTCGGCCAATCCCTAATTGCTGCTATCTTGTTGTCCTCAGGCTTAATGCCATCTCCGTCTAAGACGTGGCCCAAGTACAGGACTTGTGTCTTGGCCCACTCGCACTTCTTCGGGTTAATCTTGAAGTTAGCTTCTCTCAGCTTCTCCAAGACCTGCCTCAAATGACCCTGAGGCTCTTGGACGGTCCTGCTGAAAACTAATATATCATCTAAATAGACTACTACAAACTTGTCTAACCACGGCCTAAACAGATCGTTCATACATCGCTGAAATGTAGCTGGCGTGTTGGTTAGTCCAGAGGGCATCACTATGAACTCATAATGGCCATATCTAGTCTGGAACGCAGTCTTGTACTGGTCATCAGGGTGGACCTCTATCTGATGATAATAGGACTTCAGATCTATCTTTGAAAAATATTTGCAACCCTGCACCCGATCTAAGGGATCGTCTATCCTTGGCAGTGGTTCAACATTCTTGACTGTGATCGCATTCAGACCTCTATAGTCGATACACATTCGCAACTCTCCTTCCTTTTTGGAGACAAACAAAACAGGTGGTCCAAAAGGAGACGAACTGGGCCTAATCCAACCCTTCTCGAGGAGCTCGTCCAACTGCTTGCGCAACTCCTCTAACTCTCTAGGGGACATCCTGTAGATTGCTCCCTTAGGAGTTCGACTGCCAGACTCTATTTTTATCCTGTGCTGGATTGGTCGCGGCACTAGTCCTATCGGCGACTCGGTTAAATCTTTTAACTCCTCCAACAGTTTGGCAATGGTTGGATCCGTGGAACTATCCCCTTCCTTAGGCTAAGTGACAGGTCTGACATATACTACAAAGACCTGGTCCTCTAACAGTTACTGCTCCTTTTTCACCAATCGCGCGAACGCGGGAGCACTGAGACAGCAATGTGCCAGCGAACTGTCTACTCCTGACACATGGAACAAACAGGCTGTCTTAACCTCGCCTGATGGACTAGGGAGCCTACACTCGTGCTCTCTCAAGTGGAGTGTGGCCCCTGCTGCCTCTCCCCAATCCATTCCCAAAACTATATCGAAAGGAAGATCATCTTGTACGAGGAGAGTCAGGGAATGGAGAACTTTCTCCACCTTCCCATCTTTCTCTAGGCGAGAATACGCCTGGACTTCCTCTACATAGTCCTCAACACGCATACTAGTGCGGTTGTCTGCGAGGACACTGACTATGGGGTCTGCCAACTTTTGGACTTTCAATCATAGCCTCAGCTTCTTCAGCGCTCTACACCTAATATAACTACGGGTAGCCCCTGAGTCTATAAGGGCCCCTACTGTACTCCTGAAAACTTCTACATCAACTAGAATTAGTTGTCCCTTACTCTCCTTCTTCATTTTGGCCCAGGCCAACATTCTCTCCTTCAACTCTTCTGCCACGCCTGTGAGGGAAGTGCCTAGAGAGACGCTAACACAAGCAGTCTCTGGACAGCTAGCTAGGCACTGGCCTGCAACCTCTGCCAAAGGCTCATGTGGTTTGGGAGTTTCTTGTACACGCGCGCTCGCTTCCCCAGATGGCCTTGAAGTAGGGGCAGTTGCGACCCCTACTGGCGGCTGCCTTTTGACTGCTGGCCATCCCATCGGGCCTGTCTATACTTAGGACAAAATTTAATTACATGTGCTGGGTCACCACAAAACACGCACTGACCCAAGTCCACGCGTTCCTGCCATACGCGTTGGTCCAAACCCAAATCTTCCCAGGGCTTGCCCTGCGGCAAGCCTGGGTGCCATCCTCCTTGAGGTGGCCTTCCACCTCATCGCTGCGGGGACCGACAAGAACCCTGACGATTTGGCGGGGGACCTTGACCCCTACCTCCCACTTGCCGGTTCCCTTGTTCGCCAACCCCCGGTGCGCCTGGTCCTCGGCCTCCCGTGGCCTGGTCCCTTTGGCCCTGGCCTCCTCCTCTACCTTGGGGTCTCCCTCCAGCCGCGACAGCCGCATAGGACCTCCCCTGCCCCACGCTACTGTCCTCATCCTCGAGGCCCCACTCGATCTGACTATATGGGACCTCGTCTGTACCACCGTCCTCTAAAGTAAGGATCATGTGATCCTTGGCCCTAACTTGGCTAAAGATGGTACGACCCTTCCACTTCTTCCCCTTATCCAGGTCCTTGTGCCAGAAAGTGAACACTGGCATGGACTTCGACTCGAACAGGACCACCTCTCTACTCAGCACATCATATGTGATGTAGGCCTGTTGAGACTTATCAAAGAAATGCCCTCTCAAGGGCTTTGGCATGACACGATAAAATAACTGGACCAACTGGGGCTTAGTGACCCCATGGTCTGGGACGGCTACCAAGTCGTCCATGACACCTTTGAGTGCTTTCGCACTCCTCCACTGTCGCGAGTGGATAGTCTGTAACTTATGAGAGACCCTCACGCCTCTCGTTGGGTCAACAAATCTTTCCCTCAGGAGTTTTGAAGAATTGAGGAAGGGGTCTGATCTTGGAATATGCAACCAGGTTGTTTTCACAACCGGCTGCGTGGCCGCTTCATCTTTGAGGGCCTGGAAGGCGACGAGGACTTGTTCCTCAGTCAGGATGTGCTGTAAATACAAATAACTATTGACGCTCGCCTCCCAGTTATCAAAATTCTCCTCCTTCTTCCCGCCATATGCGTTTGGGAACTTAAGCTTGACGGGCTCTTTACGGGGCCTGGCCTCACTCTCAACGGCGGCAACTGCTTTGGCACTCTCGATGGCGCCCTCAAAAAACTTTCCCACGTTCTCTCTTAACCGCCTAACTTCGCCCTCAACGTGGGTGACCATATCGCGCGCGAAATCCCGGAATCCTGACCGCATGGCACTCAGGGCCACATCGTGACCCCAGTTGGCTTGGCGCTCCTCCATCCAAGCCCCACTCAACACTTCCAAGTACCCCAATATCTTATCCATTTTGGCAGAAATATCTGTCTGCGCCTGCACCTCTTGTCTACAATCTCTCACCTTTGCCACCTCCGCGGTCAACCTATTAACTTCCTCCCTCCTTTTCTTCTTTTCCCTCTTCATCCTCAGTTTTCACTCCAACTTTTTTTCCTCCTCTGTTTCTTGCCGTTCCAGGGGGTCCTCGATTGTTGCTAACACCCTGGCTAACGCGTCCCTCTCATCCTGTGGCACATACATCTCTGCCTCCTCGTCTTCCCCCAACGATAAGTTAGCAATCCACTCACTAATCTTCTTCTCCATCGCTGCCTCCTGATTCGCCGTGCCACTACTCTCCCCTTTTACTTTCCTGCGTTTTCTCTCCTCTTCTGCTTCTGCTGCTGCTTCTATCTCGGCAACCTTTTTCTTCTCCTCCATCTCTTCTTCCAACTTCTTCATCTTTGCCGCCTGCTCCTCTGCGATTGCTTTTAATTCCGCCTGCTTTAGAAGCTCTTTCCTCTCCTTACTCTCCCTCACCAAGGCAACCATCTTCTCTTGTTGCTCCTGGATGTAGGGGCTAGTACTCTTCCCACTACGGGTCTCCACCATGGTGATAAGTGCACAACCGGATTGGCGGTTCCAAACCTCACCACGTAGACTCTAACCCCTGATTGACAAACCTACTGACTCAATCTAAAGACTCACAGAATCCGGATAGGGATCCTGCCAACTAGGGTCTCTAGCCTAGACCTACACTATGGCTGTCACTACTAGACCTGTTGCTGATCAGGAGGCATTTAAGGAGATCCCCCGTAACTCCTCCGGAATTATTTAACGTCGCAAACAGGACGACGTGATCAGCAGGTCTCTCAACACTTAGACTGCCTGTTGCGCAACCCACAACTCAGCCTTTCGGCCCTACCGTGCCACACCGAGCAGCCCGCCGGTCTGTACCGGTCCTTGGGAGGGTTAGGCCTCCGGGACAGTCGAGTCGTCAGACAGTGACAGACACAGTCTTTAGCCCTACTTGGTCCGGAAGGGGTTTGGTCAACAAGGCCTATCCTTCATCCACAGAGTACTATCACCTGGACAAAAGAGACTCGATGCAGAAAGAAGAGACAGACAGACTGGACTAAGCAAGTACCACAGGGTGTGTGCACATCCATAGGGCGAGGGATAGGTTGAAGGCTTGGCGAGAGTATTTCGGCTCCAGCTTGGTCAAACTCGTGGTCAACGGCTTGCTTAACGCCGGTCAACGCTGAGGTCAACCCCCGGTCAACCCCCGGTCAACGCCGGCTAACACCTCCTGTCAACTCCTGGTCAACCCCGGTCAACGTCCGGTCAACGCTTGGTCAACTCTCCCGGTCAACTTCCCCGGTCGGCTATGGCTGCCGGATTCACTTTCACTCACCAACCTTCTTCTTCCCTTCACCTTCCTCACCTCCTTTCACCCCGACTGTCTCCTTTTTTTTTTTTTTTTTTTT